ATAGTTTGTAGAATCACATACAGTTTTATCACATTCCAGTATCAATATGTATGCTTAAAGACCAAGATTTTAAAGAGTTAAATCGGCTCTTAAATGATTCAGAATGTGTGTAGAAATCACAAGAGGTAATGAAGATGAGGAGGAATAAACAGAGGAAAGATGGCAAAGAAGCTTCATAAATGAAACAATGAATGTACCTCTGGTTGAACTGTGTGATTCAGTATTTCTGTAGCTCTATGTCTGGTCCAGTAAGACCTGTTTAGGGTCCGGTCTTCAGTCTGTTATCATCTGAAAGATCTTCCAGCGCTGCATGTCTGATATTTCTGCCAGAGCCTTTTGCTCACAGGTCAGCAGCATTGGAGTTTAGATGCTTTGTGGTTAAAAACTGTCTGCACTGCATTGGTTTTTAGTTAAGAAAGTAACAATCACTCATACAAATGACTCAAAGTCTTCTGGAGGGACATTTACAAATATGACTTTTCGGAAGTTGTGTTCAACTCTCTACCACTGCACTGTATCTTTTTTTTTTTTTTTCATGTGGGAAATGATTCAAAATCAAAATGCTTTTATTTTGTTTGTTTTTTTTTATTACAGCCAACAGTTATGCAGTGACGCATTATCTAAAATTACTCCAGTCAAACACAATATAAGACTAGAAATACCCAAGCTATATCTAGAAATTTAACTCCACCAGTAAACACACCAAAGTTGATATGGTCAGTACTGTAAGTAGGTGTGTCAGAGTCCCTATATCATACTGTCATCATATAAATTTGATCTCATATCGATTTAAGAAAAGGTAAAGCTTAAAAAATTTCAATTTGCAATAGGAAAATATGAGCAAATTGAACAAGTATTATCAGTTGTAATGAAGCTTTTGTCAGAAACTTTTCAAAGAAAATATATTTGGAAAAAGGAATACTCAATGTTTTCAGGTTTTAAGCCTCTTGTCTTTGAGACAGCTGGATAATATATCTGCTGTCAGTTCTGACAAGTCTCAGAAACACACCTCTAATCTCAACCCCCTCAACCCCCTCTTTCTCCACTTCAACCATGAAAAGTGACACCAGCACAAATATTAAACATCTTCCAAGGCTTAAGTATTCTTTTCTCCAACACTCCTCCCACCCTCCAGGACCTCATTCCTCCCCCACTTCTCCTTCTCTCTCCCTCCCATCTTGTCTTGTCCTTGTCTCCTCAGAAGCCCTGGCAGCCGGATCATCTCTGTCTCTTAGTGTCAATTAAAAGTGAAATATCTGCATTTGTCAACATATCATTTGTGGTGTGCCTGTGATGCACTGCTGATTTGCCGTCCAATTCCTGACACTGGGGACGGAATGCCGAGGCGGCAGTCTCCCTCATTAGACCTGTAGCTGGTATCATGATGGCTGACACCACCAGGAAACTGCACTCCCCGCCATCTTGATGCTAATCCACCAACATAGCACGTCTGTCAGCCTTGTCACTTGCCAGCCAGCTACCCAGGTAGAGTGAGGGGTAGAGGGTGGGAAGATGCTTCCTTCTCCACTTTCTGAGAACCTGAGACTATATTTAAATTTATTTGGAAAGCGCAGCTTCAGTATATGGAATTTTAGGAAGCCATGTGACCCAGAGTGGTCATTTTGGTGTGGTGGACATTGTGAACTGCATGAACTCTCTTTCACCAGCAGAGCTATGATAGTGAATGGAGACTGGAGAGCGAGACTATCTGACTGTCAGCAACATTACGTAATATTTAAATAGAAGACTGGATCCAAGTATTTGAAATGGAAAAGCAGTGTAAGAAGGATTTTATTTATGGACTTTTTCTAGACATGATCTTAGAATAAAAAAAAAAATAGAAAAAGCTAGGGATGTTATATATTTGCTAAAGGGGTCTTTATCACAATTTGCCAAACTTAAACCTATAAAAAAAGTACCTTTCTTTAAAAACAAGTTTTTATTATTATTTCATTTCCCCTTGTCTAATGCTAATATTCTCAAATAACTGTATCTTTCTGGCCTTCTTCTATTTGTGTGAACTTTGCATCTATGTGTTCATGTGCTTGCAAGTATTTGCAGACCCGGAGGGTGTGAACTGCTAATTTTAATTAATTTAAACTGCATTAAGTTATATTACAATTAATAAATATAATTGAATACATTTAAGTTGATATCTAAATATAATTAAAGGGGTGCTGTTATGTATTTTCTAGCCATATGAGTTTATATTTTCCATACACATTCAGAGTCACATAAAGACAGTTATAAAGTTGGTCTTTGATCACCTGAAGATCATGCCCGGAATTAAAGAACTGACATCCCAGCAAGAACTAGAGAAACTCATATGTGTTTATCTGTAGTTCCATTGACTACACTGACACCCTGCTGATCGGAGAATAGACTTTAAAATAGTTATCTACTTCTAAATTACTGAATACATTGGGATATTTAAAACATGTTTATTAAGTTTAATACACAAAATCATTGCCAGAAATTGAGATTTTATCCCATCAGTTCTGCCATTGAGCTCACTAAGGAATGCGCTGTTTTAGAGCTACATCATAATTATGGAAATGAGCTTCTGCTGGCCACGCCCTGTTTAAATTAGAACCTCAAACTAAAAAATGGACACAAGTAAATGCACCATGGTGCAACTGTAGCCATCTTTGACTCTGACCCTGAACAACCATCAATCCACTGAAGGCTAAAACGCTGCAGATCTGATGCATATTTATATCATTATTAGTTCAAACTGAGGATTCTTCTTTGCTTTCTAGGTAGTGTGCCAAGAAGTGAAGTGGAACAGCTGACAGCACAAGAATTTGGCACAAAGACCATTTCTTCTGTAAATGCGATTTGTTTTAAATATATATATTTGCGAGGTTAGAGGAGAAGCAGTTCTCTGAACATGGACAGGGACATTACCAACAAAAGTAAAACAAAGATACACAGCTCTCTTTTACATGCCTGGGAGAAAATGCATGGACACATGCTCTATATTTTACTCGTCCTGCAGCCATTGTGCAGTATGTCAACTGCCCCTGCAGCTTTATGACTGTAGGTATTATGCACCTTGACATTTTCCTCTAAGTAAAATATATTTATATTTTAAGTTTTACTATTTTAGAAGATAAAATCATTGATACTTGTTAAATTCAGTTTTTTATTTTTTATTTTTTTTTACCTGACCTTTTTACCTGATATGTGAAAAAACAAATAAAAACACACATATGTGATTGACAACCATATGTTTCTATTTATACAAAGATAAAACATATAAAAACTATCAATGTCAAACATATGCATCTTCACATAGACAGGTTCAGTCAGTGCATATGAAGAGTTGTCTTGCAGAAGGATATCTTTTTATTATCAAACGTTCTTTATTATTAAAGTTGTTGAGAAACAAAAACGGTCTTTTGTGTCGAAGCATCCTGTACATAAACCACAACCACATGTCCATCCTAAACCTAAATCTTATTGGTCTGTTTATTTTTGTTTCTTTGGTGGGTCTGTGCTTTTTCTGAAACCTAAAGGTGACTATGCAGAGAAACTAAAAATGAGTAACACTGGCTGAGCTTGTTCTGTGTGACGGGTCCCCAGTTTGCAAGCTGTTGTTTTTTTTCTGTGTGGTTTTGGGAACTGATGAGCTGACAAGACACCACCACCGCTGTTCTACTGAACGTCTATAACATCTCCTGGGCTGTCCTGACCATCACTTTGAACAGAGAACTCCAAGTCTAAAAATTTGCCAAAAAGATTATTGTTTAACAAACATTGTTGCTTCACCTCCTCCAGAAGTGCCTCTCTGAAATACACTTAGATTTGAGCAGGGCAGCTGCCTTTTTTTTTTTAAATCCACTAGATTCAATGTCTCTAACTTGTAAATAATTTTGGATTATGACATTTCTGTTGATTCTCACACAGTTAAAGCCCTGACAAACATTATCAGTGCTTTAATAGTGAAACTCCGAAAGCAAGACATCCACCTGGTAATGTTTTACCCAAAAGTACAAATGTGGCTCAAATATTCAGGAAGAAGTTGGATTGACTGTTAGAAAAAATAAAATTTTAACCACGCGGCAAGGTAAGGTCAGATCAAATAAAAGAATACCAAATGTACAGCCAGACAAAATTGAACTCACTGTTTCAATTCTTACAGGGTTAACTGAGAATTAGATGCACTTTTGACACCGTTAAAACACATCCTCTCTACCACACCGCATCCTATTTCTGACCTACTCAGTTAATATAAAGTGCATTCCTTTGTGTACATGACACTCCCATCCAGAATGTCTGCTGGTTTTGGATTGGCTACTGATAACCCATCTAATAGGTCAACCATCACCCTCATCCTCCCTTAACCCATTACGTGGGAGTGGAGGAGTCTGGAATGCTGACATGAAAGTCGAATGGCATGTTCCACCTACCTGAAGGCAACACTGCTTCACTTTAAAACTTTATGCAGTTCATTTCCTATCCTATTTGTTAGCATTACCAAAATCATTGCTATTTGTTAAATGCAAAAAGTTTAAGAGAATTGCTTTATCTTTCTTCAAATAAATAAGTTTCCATATATTTCCATATTATTTGGTAGAATTTCCCCCTTACTGTGTATGACTTGGGTGACACATTTTGGATCCTTCAACAAGCTCCTCACAGTTAAATACTGGAGGTTTGGCCCATTCCTTCTGACAGAACTTTGTCAACTGCCATGTTCTAACATACTGGTCTAACTCTGCCTCCAAAATTGAAGAAATTCTGAGACTTATATTTCTGCATAATGTTCATTCCTCATGATGGTATTCATTATCAAAAGTCCACAAGTCTTGAATTCCCCTTTCTTTTTTCTTGTGGAGTAATAGCTTTATCCTCTCTATCTGGTGTATTCCCAGAATGTTTAAGGCATCGAAGCAGAAGATTTTAGAAGATAGAATCATTAATACTTGTTAAATTCAGTTTTTTGTTTGTTTTGTGTTTTTACTTGAACTGTGAAAAAACAAATAAAAACACACATATGTGATTGACAACCACATGTTTCTATTTATACAAAGATAAAACATATAAAATCTATCAATGTCAAACATATGCATCTTCACATAGACAGGTTCAGTCAGTGCATATGAAGAGTTGTCTTGCAAAAGGATATCTTCAAAGACAATGGGCATGATATCAGATCAACACATACAAATTCAAAGCCAAAGAAATGTTGACACATGTAGGCTGAGTTCAAATCAGTGAAACTGATAGCAAGAGCTGTGTAGGCTCTTGCTACACAGCTTCAGGGAACTACTTTTTCCTCTATTGCATAAAAGTGAAACTAGTAGGAACTGTTTCATAGGAACTTCATTTTTACCAAAGCTGAGCACATTATAAGTTTAAATGATCCACAACCATTCTGAAAATACTACATACTTTCATCTTTGAATAATAGTGTAAAATAGCATGTTGTCAATATTGTAAGATCTGAGTCTGCTTCAGTCTGCCAGTTGATCTGAACACAGAGCATCCATACAGCATCATGGGACACATCAGGTTCATGGGTTCAGAAAAACATCAAGGCACATATCAGTGTTGCACCATGAACATATAAGTTTTCCTATTTTCAAATTTTATATTATTTCATCAGTACAGGAATGAGATTTGCAGACATTATTTCACTTAATACAATTAGCCTAACAATTGCTTTTGCAAAATAAACAAACACAGATTTACAGTATAATATGTCAGTAATAAATAACAAATAACTTTGTTTCTTTGTATTCCCTTTATTGCTTTTGATTGCTGTTTACCTAATCAGGTTAAAATGCAACACCTCCTGATGAAAAACTAATATGCCACCATAGATTATGGGAGTAATAGATGTGCAGCAATGTTCTTCTCAGCAATGTTCTTGAAAAAACTGAGAGAAAGAGAAAAAAAAAACTAAGCAACAAAATACAGTTTGGCCTGACTGTACATATATTACATGAATACATATTTACTTTGTAGCAAGAAATCATCCAGATGTAAGAAATACATTAAACACCTCAATTCCAACCAACTTCCCTTTTGCAAGAGAAGATGGCTTGAACAGGAAATGTAAAAAAAAACAGCAACATATTCTTTTATGTGTAGATTCAACACCTTTTTCTTTTTTCAACCAGACTTTTGGCATTTTGCTTCATTCTCTCTAAAACTACTCCAATATGCAGTCATTTACGTCACATTTGACTCATGTAAAACACAATTTACATGAACAACTTCAAAAACCAGATGTTTGTAAGATAAAACAAAGTCCAATAGTTTTATATTGTTTTGTTAACACCTGGGTTCACCAGCCCATTGTTGCTCTTATTTCATCTCGTAATACATAATTCTGATGTTTGTTTTTTCCATCAATATATAAGTAACTTCTTCTGCAGAACCTAGTTATCCATGCCATAAGATGAGGGTAGTGACTTGATTTCAAATGAGCACCTTTCAGTATCGCAAAAGCAGTTCTTTGAATGATTTTGAGAAGTTATCAGCACCAGAGAACAGAAGAAAAAGGCAAGCAAGTTATGGGATTTTTCTGGATATGGAGACGTACAGGAGCATGTTGAAATAATTTCCTAATATTACAAAGTAGCTAACATGATTCTTCTTGTACTAATACAATGCCTGTCAAAAAGTAAAAAGAACATTGTCAGGTTTTTTTTGTTAATAAGTCGTCAGTATCACACCTGGAGGAGGCAGCGGTCAGTTTGTCCTCGGTTTGAACAAACCAGTGCTATGAGCAGGACCAGATCAAAGGCAGGCATCAACATCAAAAGTATTTCCTAATTCAGCAGTGTTAGGAAACACATTTCATCTGTTTATTCATTTTTCAACCAATCAACCAGGCAAAGTTTGTTTACAATTTTAAACCCTTGTAAAATGAAAGTTCAACGAACCTCACAGTGACTGAAGCAGGTTAACTTCCTGCTATATTTTTATAAGCCACAAGTTATTTATGAAGTTACTTTTCTTCACTTTATCTGTTGTTGCATTTTTACGGATCGGATGAAAGCAAAAATGCATAAATCATGTCAGATTTCAAAGTGATAAGGTGCAACAATATCATATAAAATATTTGTTCAGTCCATATGGCAGTCCAGCATGTTTTGATTTTGATCATATTCTTAGCTGGTTCTCCAAACCCAGGTTTCCCAGGTTTCTGTTCACTGTAAGGAAGATTAGAACTAATCTGTTGCACCCCTCACACCGGTGCCTTTTCTCAGCTCTGTGTTTTGTAGCAGCTTCCTGATCACATTCCTCTCATGCAGCGGAAGGCTGTCAGGTTCTTCAAATGGATTGTTTTTTCAGATGCACACTTTAAAGTGTAGCTTGAAAATCTTGAAGTTACACAGAATTTTTCCACTCTCATTACACTTAGTGAGGTGGTTTAGTTTGTCATGGCATTATCACACCACAACAATTACTCTTTATTAAAGCAGATTATTTTTCCTACATAAGCAGCCTATTTGCAATTAATGACAGTGTTTTATGTCTGATCAACAGTAGATATATTTTTCTTCTCTGGACAAGGCCATGCCAGTTTTTTTTCCTATTTTGAAGTTGTCATAAATAATGGTTGTACATCAAATTGTTGAACATACAAATGTACACAACTATGATTTGATTAAACTTAATATCCCCTTTTTGAGCATTTTCTGTCACACTGACCACAGCAACCGTATTTTTAAATAAATACTTCAAATATCCATATGAAAATATAGAAAAAGATTCAGTGACTTCAACTTGAGCAGTTTAGATGAACATTCAACCCAAAACACAAAAATGAGGATAAATACTCAAACTAAGTAGAATAAGAATAATAGGTAGCACGGTTAGCCTATTGAGCCCCACAGTGTTTACTGAATAATAATACAGCTCAGGATGTCCCAGTCCAATCCCAGGTATCGCCTCAGAATTCTGATCAGATTTTGACATGTTCAGTTTGCCTGTTCCTTTTTGTTTGCCTGTCATTTCGCCTTAGTTGTATTCTGCATAGTAACATTTTGATTATCATTGCAGATTTTCTTGAGTCTCTTAAAGCTGTATTACGGTTTCTGCGTAATTTGGGGGAGATTATGCTTAGAATCTAAATATTTTTTTTGTGCTTTTTGCCCATTTTTCTTCCCCCATTTTTTTTGCCCATTTTTTTTGCCCATTGCTTTTTGCCCGTGATCTGCTTTGTGTGCCAAGTTCAGAAAGTTTCAGTGCGGGACACAGAAACACCTGTCTGCAGTTTCTGAAGCAGGAGAAGTGTATTTGCCTTAAACTGCAACAAAATCCACTGTGAGCTAATTTATAGAGTGATAACAATGACCAACCATTGCAACAAAGCACTCCACTGAATTGAGTTTATTAAACACAGATGCATGTACATCTACGTACATTATACGGATGTACACATATATATCTTTATATTTGCAGATTGTCACTTTGTTTGACATTGTTAACCTGTGTTAGAGCATCACATAATAATTGCAGATTTTATTTTAACCAGATGGGGACTGGGCTGATACCTGTTCTGAAATGATTGGGACATCCCTCTGTGCAGCAGTAAAACTTTGTAGACCTTTCAATTGTGAGGCAAAGTTCTCACAAGTGAGAACTTTGTGAAAACTTCTCACATGAACTGTAAAATCATTCACACAGAACGATTTTATTCTCAAAGCTTTAGGAAAAATATATCATCTGAAAAAAAATGCAGAAGAATAGAAGGATGAGTACAAGAAAATAGTTACAAGAAAATAGTTAAAAAGTTTTAAATGATTTTGCTTGTCAAAAAAGCTGCCAGGACTTGTCAGTAAACCGACTGTTGTGCAAATTTCACATTATATAAAATACATGGAGAAGCTTATTTCCCCTCAACAGCCATACATTCCTCATTCTTCTTTGTCATTGTTGGAATCAGCAGAAAAAGGTTTTTCCTTTGTTAACCATTTAATGACGAATCCAGTAGTTTCTCCAGGCAGTTTATGACATCTTCCACTGTCTCTTATTTGTGGTTAAAGCAGTATGATACTGCTAAATATTTCTCTGGGGTTGATATGCATCCTTTGGATGTAAGATAGCGAGGTGGCAATGTAAGGCTTTAGATCAGCCTCTCCTCTGGTGGCACTTTGAGCACACTACCCATTTCCAGCCTGGCACCGGCCACCTCCTGAGAGCTGGGGCTGTACGTACCCTCTGACTGCCGCTTCTTTCTTGCTGTCATGATCAGGAAAAACACAGTCAGGATGGCTAACAGCACACACAGGGTAGTCAGAGGGATGGTGACTGCCAGCCAGGGAACCCTTTCCTTATGCTCTCCTTTCTGCAACAACAGCACAGAGTAATATTTAGAACTAATTAAATGAATTTCAGCTCTAACTTTCATCTGCAGGTGGCAGTTTCAATAACTAAGTGTTTATGAAAGTTTAACCAAGCCAAGTAATGTTTTGATCAGAATAGCAAGAATAGCTTGGTTACACAGTTCCAGCAGATATTGTTAATTTTCCAGTTCAGGTGATACCTGCTTTTCCTCCAAATGTAAACAGTTCATAATGAGTATTTACAGTCACTATGACTTTAGTCAAGACTTTAGTGTCATCAGACGACAGGACATGTCCCTAAAAATGAATGTTTTTGTGCTTGTGTGGATTTCCAAACTATAATCTGACTTTAGATGTTTTTTGTGAAGTAAAGACTTCCTCTGCACTGACTGAAAGGCCTTTCAACACACCGTGGTACAGGACCTGTTCTCATGTAGCATCATGCTGTGCCATTGCAGAAAAAAAACACTGTAACTCTTCAACAGGTAGCAATTTGTACAATATTGTCTGTAGCTAGACGTGCTACATAGAATGACGCTGCCAAATCCCACACAATGAAAAGTTCATTAGCTAGCCAGCCAGATAGCACAACAGTCTGTTACATAACAGCTATGAGAGTCTCTGTCGCAATAGTAAGCCCACATCTCAGCAGAAAACATTTCTTGGTATACCTATGATGTTTGATATTATGGTTGTCAGCTTTGACCTCGGGCACCAGTTGTGCCAATGGAAGAGTTAAGTTAAAGAGCCAGTCATCACTTAAACAGGCATTTTCTCACGGCACTGCATATGACTGCAAAAGCAATCATATGCTTTGTGGAGTGACATTACAGACACATTAACAATTCACCTATTCAAGGACATGGTCTGGACATGGTCAAGGACATGGTCTGACTATAAACAAGTGAAAGAATGGGTTCAGAACAAAGATTCAGGAGGGATTCAAGGTATGCTGTCCAAACATTATACCAAGAACACAATATCTGAAAATGGAGCTATGCACAATCACACACTTATTTATAATGTTATAATGTTCATTTATAATGTTTATAGAACCATCTTATAATACTTTTATTTGAAAAGGAGGCAGTGTTAGAGTTTCATAAAACTGCACTTGATGGAGGTCGAGTCACTGTCTCTTTAAGCAAGATCTTTATTCAAAGCAACATTAGGCATTATCCTTAGCCAGCTATGTCAAAATTTTAAACTTCAGTCTCTGAACATCAATAAAAAATATTCAGCTTGCAGAATGCATCCAACTTACATTGCTCTCACACAGCTTGCCACTGAAGCCTGGGACACAAACACACTGGAAGTGGTTGAGTCGGTTTAGACAAGTGGCTCCATTTTGACACGGACTGGACTCACATTCATCTATTTCCGTCTCGCACCTGAAACACAACAGAAGGTTTTTTGCAAAATGCTGACTGACAGGGTGGAGGCTAACACACACATGCACACGCCCATCACACACACGCTTTTTTGTTTACATGCTATCTTTGTGGAGACTTTCCACTGACTTCTATTTCTACACCAAAAACAGCATTTGTCGTTGTGGGGACCAGGCTTTGGCCCACAAGGATCAGTGAGTCCCCACAAAGTCTCAGAAAAATAGACCCCACAATGTAATATGTGTCAGAAAAATAGTCTCCACAATGCATCCAATATATGGTACACACACTCCTTAACCCTCTCGGGTTCAAATTACTTGAAAAGACTGGCTAAGTTGTTGCAAATCTGCAACACCTGCCTGGAGAGGGTTAAACTGGCCTATATCAGAAACACACTGTGCTAAGTGGTGAGTGTGCAGTTAGATTTGTATAGTATGAAGGTCTTACCTGATGCTGGTATATCCAGGTTTGCAGGTGCAGTTGCCTCCTATGCAAACCCCACCATTGAGACAATCCTTGCTTGCATCACAAGTTACTGGAGGGAAACGCCATCTATTAGAAATGTACAAATGCACAATTTATTTCCAATGACACTTTAGTACATATAAAAACACAATTTTTCTTCACCAACAAATTTGTTGGACAATATCAAAACATAATGGAAAGTACAATCACTTGGCAAACTCTAAATAGATCACCAGTTCATCAAAGTTCAACATGGACATTCTATAGTATAAACGCTAAAACTTCATATTTATGGATGATTCAGAGTGGCTAATTGTTCTAACATGCTATCCAGCTACACAAATGTCTGATGGTATGATAGCATCCACAAATCAAGATTGCACATAGTAGTTCAGCAGGCTAAAGTGGCTTTAACCTGATATTGTCTGTACCTCATAAAGTGGCATTGAGCAAGTGTGATGTTGTGTCATAGTTCTGTTTTTAGCTACATGTATACATGTTTCTTTCACATGCATTTACATATGTCTCAATTTCAGACATGAGAAAACAACAATGAACCAGTATTAGATGTAAAATAAATATTGTATAAATGCTGATTTATGCTGTATAAGAAAAATTAAATGAGACACGAAGAATTTGTAGAGCAACTAATTTTGCTGTGGCTATTCTATGGCAAGTTCAACATCTACATGCAGGATTCAGAATGTAATAGTGGATTTTTTTTTTTTTTTTTGCATTTTTTTATGCAGATATCTCTGAATGTTACATTAAATAATGTACTCACTGGCAGCGCGTGCCCTTGTACCCAGGAGGACATGAACATGTATGAGCACCAGCAATTTCTTCACAGATTCCTCCGTTAACACAGCTGAACTCAAGACAGTTATCCACTTCATTCTGGCAGTTAATCCCATCATATCCAGGATCACATGTACACTGGTAGTCTGCCATGAGGTCTGTACAGGACCCATAGACACAGGGAGCTGAAGAGCACTCATTTATTTCTTTCTCACACAGGTTGCCTTCCCATCCAGGGCTACAGCTGCAGTTAAACTCGTTAAAATGGTCCTGACAGAGTCCCTGGTTAAGGCAGGGCTGGGATTCACAAACTGGTGCACCTTGACATCCAATGATTGGCTGAAGTCCACTGATCAAGGAGAACTGGCTTTTCTGAGGGGCATCTGGTACCTTTTGAAGAGGCAGGTAGACACCACCTATTCTCATTTCCCGTAAACAACCAGTGTAGTTTTCTGCCAGCCAAACTTTGCTGTTATTCATGAAGTTGAGATATCCTCCAACGCCAAAGCTGCCACCAGCCTTCTGCCCATCCACTACGAGGTGCCAACGAGACACTGAAAAGAGAGGGTTGACCATACTGAGCTGGATCTGGTGCCATGCCCCATCTGCAATGGTCCTGTCACTCATAAAGGCCAGCAGTTCTTCACCTGGCCCACTGTCCAGCTTGACCAGGAGGCTGGAGTTTAATAAACCCAAACAAAAAACCTCATCTCTGCCTTCAGAACGCAACAAGATTCCATTTTCATCCCGTGTCCGTATGGCCATGGTGATGTTGGTCACAGGGTTCAGCAGGGAGCCATTGGCAACAAACTGAAGAGAATTGTGCTGAAAAGCAGCTTCTGTTAAACCTGTAAGAAAACCAAGTAAATGTTCCAAGTAAATGTATTAATAAAATTAGCCATGTTGTGTTTTTAAGACACCATGGTTGATTTAATAGGTAACATGAGAAAAGTATCGCTCCTCACATTCGTAACCATCTGTTAGATCCACACAGATTGCTCCTTCAAAACATGGCTTCTCAATGCACCACAGGCGGGTTTCACACAGCCGGCCCGAGAAGTTACTGGGGCACACACACGTGAAGTCATTCCAAGTGACCTGACATTGTCCGTTATTTAAACAGGGGTTATCCTGTGAACAGAACACAGATTGAGGGATTAAATGATCAGCAGTAGAATCTCTCACCTTTTGAACCTACCTCAGTAAAAGCTGTGCAAGGGATTAAATGGTGACTTTCAGATCAAAGGATGTCACAATCGAACACAGTCAAAAGGGTAAAATGAAATCTAACACACTGAGTCAAAAGGGCCTTTTTAGGCCCTTTACATGATTCCTAGTTAAATAATAGCAGGTGGAGAATCAGTGTTTTTTATCTGTATCAACCATAAAAATAAGGGAACAATCAGGAATTAGCATGATTCATATAATAAAATAATATTAAATACAACTTCTCCACTGTTGTTCATCCACTTTTTGTTGCGGAGCTTAGATAGTCTTTAAAATGGCCAGCATTCCTTCTCTTTTACCTTGCATGAGTTGTCACTGTGACAGCCTTGAAGCACATTCACCTTGGTGGATTGATAAAGCTCCAAACCCTCTAGATGATCCCCAGAACTCATTTGTTTGTCATCCAGCCGCATGTCCTGAAGGCAGCCCTTGAAGTTTCCACCCCAGGCATTCACGTTCCTGCCTGCAGGGAGCCCTCCAATAAATGCCACATCTCCTGCTTCTACGCTCAGGTTGCCTAAGGCACGGTGGTTCCCCGCTTTAGGAAAAACCACATGGCCATTGATAATCTTTATGGTCACTAAATGACTCTTTCCATCAGTGACTTGCTTAGCCTCAGACCGCAGAGTTGTGTGAGGACTGTAGATGGCAACAGTGCTTTCCTTCAGATAGATCGTAAGATAGGACTTCCCCTCTCGGTGGAACTGCAGAAGCAGGCCGCTGTGTTTTAGGGAACGCATTAAAAAGGAAATGGTAAAGTTTTCTCCATGGCTGTTGGAAATGTTGACAGAAGAGTAGCTGCTGGTGTTCTCATGGCCAAAGGTCAATGACTGGTATTCTGAGTTGGGAATGGAAAAAAGAAAAGTGCAACTATATTATTTCAAAATATTGGCAAACTGACCACATATATAAATTGGACAAGCAAAAGACCTAAAAGGTTCCACATTTCGCGTTGTACAGTTTCAGAGAGAGCTTTACATTCAGTTGTTATAATCAGGAATCGCACCATAATTTGGAGTGTTCAGTTATGGATTTGAATGTTTGTTTCAGGGTGTAAAAATCACACAATATACAACTGTAATGATTTAAAGAAACAAGAATTTGACTATATTCTGGATTTCCCCATCCCATATAAGTTAAAAATTACGCATACAGGTTCAAATATATACATCTTCAATAGTTCACATCCTGTAGGAGGTTATGCCAATGCCACATGGTTTTTGCAGCTATCAACAAGTTTCTGCAAAGAATTATGACTGGATATTTGGCAGCCATATCTAAAAGCTGCAACCATTCAAAAACTGACTCTAGTGTGAGTGATTCTACAGTGGAAACAGAAAATTGTTTGGTTTGAAAGCATGAAACATCCTGGTATTCGTGGTCAACAACTCAGAAATCACGAGTCAAATAAATTGTTTACATAAAAAAAATCAGTGTTTGTAAATTTGTGTCTGAAACTGTGTATAACTTTAAAAGAGCAAAGGCATCTGGGTCATTAGGAAGTACAAACCACCAATCAAAGCCACTCTAAATTTCACTGGGAAAAGCTTTAAGAAAAAAAAAAGATCTATGAAGATGCATGTTTCAGTTCCTACATCTGCCTTTGTGTACAAACGTCTGACAAATACTCACTTTTCCAGCTACAGGTAAGTCATCCAACAAACCATGCACATTATTTTATTAATAAAACAAGTCTTTGACATAAGTGAACTATTACCTTTTTCACAGCGGCTGCCATAATATGGGCGATGACACACACAGTTTGCACGAACCCACATGTCCACACACTGTCCTCGGTCCAAGCAGACGCCCTCAGAGCACCAGTCCCTTTTGGAACATCCGAGTTCCAAGCCCTTGTTTTCCTCCCTGATGAGGTCCTGAGGCAGCAGCAGTGTGTGGTCAACTTTAAGGTCTTCCATACAGCCAATGAACCCCTTCCCACTGGATAAGTGAGATGAGTAATTCAGAGGTATTCCTCCTATATAGAGCTGTTGGAAAAATCTAGGCTGTAGGAAAATCAGATGGTTGTGACCGTCATTCCTCACTTGGCATTCTTCTTTACAACCAGGTCCTGCCACAGTCAGAACCAACCCATCATCCATAGTTACAGTCACCTGATGCCATTCTCCATCATTGACCGGGATGGGGTAAACTACCTTCAATACCTTCTCTGAGCTCAACGTAGCCTGCAGAGTGCCGTCAACTAGCTCCAGGGAGAGGAAACGGTCCATGGTGCCCCGGTAGTACAGCAGCATGTTGGGTAGAGTACTCCTGAAACGAAGCTGCATGTGGAGTGCATAGATTTTTTCGACAGCCTCTCGTTTTGTCTTGTTGTCGAAAACAGGCAGCTGCATGAGAACATAGCCCTCTATGTTGAAGGAGAAGGTGGTTAGGGTGTTGCAGCGTTCTCCGCCCCAGCCAGGGGAGCACATACAGATGTAACTGTGACCTCCGGCAACATTTAATATGGGGATGCAAGTTGCCCCATGCTGACACTGATGCTGCCGGCAGCCAAGCAGCTTCACGTCACAATCACGGCCCCCCCAGGGTTCCTGACCCCGATCTGTTGTGGGGCAGTGACACCTGTAAGAGTTGGCAGCATCCTCACACGTGGCACCATTCTGGCAGGGATTGCTGTCACACTCATTGATGTCAACCTCACAGAGAACACCTTAATGAAAAAAAGCACTAACGTTAATGTTGCTCATAAAACTCTCATTGAGAAGCATTAAAAGGGTGTATTTAGGTAAAACTGTAAAGTCTAACTATGAATCAGTAACAATATGTGTCTAGGAAGTCAATTACCATTGACAAATACAGATAATCAGGCAGTTCTGGTTACTGTAAGGCATCCATTGTCCAAATAATTTGAATATGAAGAAATGCAATATTAGACATCGATTAGTAATCCAGTTAAATCTGTATCTTTTTTTTTTTTAATGAAACAGTCAGCTGGACATAGAAATACTGCACTAGATACTTGTCAGATAAACCCACTGACACAGTCTGAACTCTAATTACAGATTGTCAAACTGGTGTTGTTGAGAACTTCCTCTTTAAATTCTGCGTTAGCAGCGTTGGCAGGAGCAGTCAACCTGCATTAACATTGTCCTTAAAAATACACTGCAGTCAAAGAGCTCTGCAGCCCATCTTCTCAATGCCAAAACTCCAACCTCTGAATCAAAAAGGCTAGAAGTTTTCTCCACTGTTGTTGCTTTAAAAATGTCTGTTCATCATACCTATCAAGCATTGTGCCCAGTAGCAGCAGCACAACAGTGGCAGTGGCAGCAGCATCAGCCGCCTCCCTTCCATGATCCTCCAGGACAACTGCCAACCCACTCCTCTCACTAGGGATAGCAGCAGAGACACAACGAGGTCCGCTGCCTCTCTTTCTCACTTCCTTTGCTTTGCCTCAAACTGTTAGGCAGAAGTGATTACAAGGCTGCCCTGCCCACCTTTTCTCTTCCTCCCTCTGTCACCCTCCCTTGTCTTTCCCTGAAAATGTTCTCCCCTCCCTTTCCCACTCTCCTGACTTCAGCTCAGCCCTGGCACAGAGCTAAGCCTCCATCTGGCTCCTGTCAATTGACACGAGGAATGCTTCAGTCCCTCCCACAACTCTTCCTAACATACATGGCAACTAACAGTAGATATTGTTTGGGAGGACCAGCAGGAGGTGCTCCAGGGTCAAACTGAGGCAGACCAAACAGCGTATCTCTGAGAAGGTTCAGACATGGTGGATAATCACTGTTTATCTATTAGTTTTGGTCGACTATTTTAATATGAAAGATTGTTCAAATGCTTTTGTGAATAAACTGTGTTTTCACAAGCAACCTTCATGGTAAAAAAGGTTCATAGAATACTCAAGAGCATTGGAAGTTCCTCTGTCTTAGTTCAAAGCCACTGCTTGGTAAATGAAGGACATTAGGAGAGTCAAGGTTTCAGCTGAGCAATAGAAATCTCTTTTTTCAACTCTGTAAATTTTTCATCAGCGTTACATCATACTGTCTTTTTTACATTTAACAAGGTCCTTTATTTTTTTCCACAGACAGGAAATGGGATATGTTGTAATCTGTTAAAGGTAAGAATTTGTCCCATCAAATAAACTCTGCTGTGGTTAGGATGTTAGAATGTATGTGCAAATGCCAAGCTGATCAAAGACCACTCCAAAATCAGGAAGTGAGAAGAGCATTCTGAGTAAATACAACCAAAACGAATGCACTCGTAGGAGAAATGGCTCCTGGTCTTCTGTCAAATTTACTCAGTCTTCTGGAGAGAAACGTTGATGTACTCTTTCCCACTGTGCTCTTCTTTTTACATGTGGGAAGCAATGCAGACTCACCTCACTATATTTTATTTTATTACACTCAACTCAATGCAGGGTTGCCTAAAATTACTTCAGTCAATCACAAAATGATAAACAACAACTGAGGTAATGTTAGTCTTCCTGTTCACTCTGTAGATTCCAGTACAGAATGGATGCAACCTCATCAGGTGAAACAATGCCGACCACCATGGGTGAAAAATATGTTAAAAATATAAATTTTTTGAAGTAATTATGAGTTTTGACATATCACAAATATCAATTCTTTAGTTAGGAGGAAATTACAACATATTTAGGCCAAAATGTTCAACTAATCATAGAGCCTTTTAAATTTTGTCCCTGCAGGATTCTTTAGAATGTGTGTAAAAGACCAAAGCATTTGTTCATAACAACAACAAAAAATTGTCGTAATTCAGAATGAATCTTATTATTTGTTGTTGTAATACCAAACATAATCTAAATCTGAAACACAAAGTTATTTCTATCTGTTTTAGAAAAATATGTACCAAGACAAATTGGAGATTTTTATTTATTTATTTTTTTTCTGTCTTGTTTAGTTAATCATTGAATTGAATGAAATTTAAAATAAATGATGAGAAGAATTTGGCCAGGAAAAAAAACAAAAATCAGATTTTCAAGATAAAAGGGTAAATAATGAGGCCCGTAAAAAATTTTTTAACCCTTTAACTGTCCCAAATGCCCCATAAACACTTATATGCAACTCAATAGGTCCCTGAGGATGGCAGCATAATAACTACAGTTAACACTATAAAATGTCTTCAAAGGTTCTTCTGCTCTTCGCAGCTTTGTAGAAAATCCTGGCTGATAACTGCAGGACAAATGAACTGAAACAGGTTCGTGTTTTGCTGCTTAAAATGTCCTGTTTTCATCAGACTTTAATTAGGGTCCTAAGCAGCTTTGCTTTAATCCTCCTCTGACAAGTTTACTAACAGACCCCACTTAATATCCAACGTGGATTCCTGGCATATGGCTCCATGGACTGTCTTTGTTGTTTGCTGCAATGTTTATCTATAACATATGCTCTCTCGCCCTTCATATCCTCTTCTGTGCTGTGACCTGCACATCTCAAAGTCATAACAATATGGGTAAACCAGACTTTTATTCTTTGGATAGAAACTGACTTCCTTGGACTGGAGTCAATATTTTAGGGTCTTATTTTAGGGTCATCGGCTGTTCTGTGTCTTTCTGTTTTGAGTGTTAAAGTGACTAATCTCTTCTAATAAGGAATTAATGGGTTGACTAGCCATGAGAAATAATTAGCAAGAAGAGGATTAACCCTTTATTGACTGGTTGAGAAGTTTCTGGAAACTACGGGAGCTATTCTGTTCAGAGTGCCTTGCTAAAGTAAAAAAAAATATTTCTAAAACTGATATGAGATACAATGACACAGAAAATGTCGAAAAACAGTTATCTGGTGACTGTCCATAGTTCAAACACTACAACAATAGAGACTAAAGGGGGATCCTTAAATAAACATAATTAAATAAATTAATAAATACTGGACTGGACAAATTGTTTGATCAAATTGGGTTGAACCTAAATGACTGAATCTGTCTGTAGACTCAACTGACTTTTTAGTAAAGTGCTTCAAGACCACATTTGTTGTGAATTGGTGCTTTATGAAAAAAGGGAATTGAAATTATTATATTTTTGCAACTATGTGGCTCAGACTCATAGAATCAGGGCTGTTCTTAGATTTTTACACAGCCTTGCTGTTTTGACTGTTTTACTTAATATTCAACATGAATATTACTTCATTTGACAAAGTGTGAATAAGAAGGCCCTTTTAAAGCAACTTTTAAAGCAACTTTGCATCAAAAGTGTCATAATTTTATGACAGTTCATGACAACAGTCATAGACATCCATAAAGACTCCTTCATGTTCATAATAAATATTATGTCACATCACATAAAATAAAGTGTTACCTAAAAATTTATAATCTATTATGCATTGTTTTTATACTATCCTATAATCTAATTAGGGCCTCTTCATTTTTAGTAGATTGGAATAAAACCACTGGAAGTGAAAGAGGTGTACTTTCTGTTTCCTATACGTTCAAACAAATATGGCTCTTCCACTCACACTGGAAAATAAATGTTTGATTGCGTTAAAGCAGACAGCCATGTGCTGGGTGCAGCTCAGGATACATGTTCTGTTCGGAGGTGAGATGAGGACAGCAGATAAGAGGTTTCTCCTACCTGTGAAGCCCTCTGGACACACACATCGAAAGGAGTTGATCTGATCCTGACAACTCCCACCATGATGACATGGAGCAGACTCACATTCGTCCACATTGACTGTGCAGTTATCTCCTGTTAGAGGGACACTTTGATCACAAACAGAGACTATGAATAAAGAAAAGTGAATATTTTGTAGATGATCTGAAACTTACCTGCAAATCCTGGCAGGCATTGACAAATGAACCCAGCTGCCACATTGTAGCTGAAGTTGACTGTTGTCAGTTCAGGAAGCGTCCCATAGTTCTGGAAAATGGAGCGCTGGAAACACTCTCCATCATTTTCACATGGATGCTGTTCACACTCGTCTATATCCACCTGGCAGTTCTCTCCTTCATAACCTAAACATTCAAGTCGCATACAGTAATGAACTATTTTGCACTGATCAATACCTTGTTAATCTGCAACATTTAAGTTTTAGAAAATTGTAGCTAAATGTTTTTTTAGTCCAAATTTGTACACTGTCCCTCAGCAAATTAAGTTATGATGAGTAATTAAAAATAAAAAATAGCTTTTAATTGTACATAAAGTCCTTGTAACTAATAGCATATTTTAAGTTCAAAATAAACACATAATATTGCTAAAAGTGTTGCATGTCTGCCTTTACTCACATGAATTTGAATGACCTCACATTTTTAATTGATAGGATTTATTTAATATCATTGTGTTATTATGGGAATCACTCATCATTCTACCAGAACAGTATTTGTAAAGCCAGACAGTGATGTTGGATGAAAAATCTTGTCTAACAATTTCTGCTCTAATTCCAAAAGTGTTGTCAGGACTTACAAGTTCTTCTGAGCTAATTCCACACAACACTTAACACAGGCTATATAGAGACAGCCTCTATATGAAGACAGAGACTATCCCGTAGTGGTTCTGAAAGATGTGGAACCATAACATTGTCCAAAATTTGTTGGTACGCCAAATTTGAAGAGTTCCTTTTAGTGGAACTAATGGGCTGTGTCTACCTCCTGAAAATCAGCCTCACAATATTATCCCTCTTCACCAAACATAATGTTTGCCACATTCCAGTCAGAGACGAGTCATTCTCCTGGCAACTCCCAATTCCAGAGAGACATGATTTAGAGAACACAGCTCTGCAGCTGGATCCAGTGTCAGCTTGCTTTACACAACATTCCAATGTTGCTTTCACTTTGTCAAAACTCAACTAACAGCACAGTGTGGAATAGAGTTAATACTTTTGGTGACATACTGCGTTTTAAAGGAATTGTTTATTAACTATTCCACCTAACCTGTACACAACATGTGTTGTGTACATGCCACACACGTTGTGTTGCATTTACATGCCTGCTTTTAATACTTAAATAACATCTTTCAACGTGTGTCTGAATGTTTCCTTGCCCTGAGGTGGGCGGTTTATTTTCAGGCTAGTTTGTGTTGAACTGTGGTATACCTGGCCAGCAGAGGCACATGTACTGGTTGATTCCCTCTGAGCACGTGGCTCCATGCTGGCAGGGATCAGATGCACATTCCAGGATGTCGTTTTCACAGTGGTCCCCGGTGAAGCCCGTCCCGTCACAGTCACACTGATAACTAGGAACAAACACACACACAGAATGGTCATAATCACGTACGATTTTACAAAGGAGGGTTTTCTTTCAGTAATAGCCTTCTCTGTTGCTTCTCCATAGCCATCACCCCACAGAGGCCATGCATGCTAAATTTAACTCAAATGTAGCATAAAATGTTTCAAAGTGAAGCATAAAGCTACTCCCAAAAACAAATAATGGCGCCAACATTTTATGCTATGTTAAGCAGGGAATTGTGCCTTGAACCTTGAGTTTTATATAATAGGTCAACACTTTGTAAAAAGTAATCTAAAAAGAGGGCTATGCATTGTATTTGAGCTCTTTATTCTGATGCCCCTAAATTAAAGCTGGACAGGATGAAACAGTAATTCACAAAATAGATTATTACATTTATATCTGATTAAGTAGGGAAAGTATGTACTGTATACTTTGCCATATATTTTATAATGTTACAACCTGTATTAGGTCTTATGTGATTTACATAGTGAAGTTAAAAGAACATAATTTTCAAAATCCTTTACTGGTAAAAGTTGGAAAACCTGTGGCATCCATTTACATTGAGACAGTTTGGCCTGGCCAGTGGTCAGATAGTGTGTGTGTTTTTTTTTGTTTTTGCTTTTTTTAAACCTCATGAAACAGAGCATTACTATCAACAGCTTGAAATGTCAGATTGAGTCAGTCTGATACTTTGCATACTAATGACAGATACAAGCGGCACCTCTCAGTTTGAAAAAGAAAAGAAAGGAAGAAAATAAGTGATTAAAATTGGTCAATATACTATAAAAGGGAGGGATAGAGAAGAGTGAAAAATTTAGAGAGAAAAAAGGAAAAGTACAAAATTCAGCCAAGGCTGAGTTCATGACACACACTGGATTCCAGCTAAAACTAGCATAGTATTTATTAAATCCTTCGTATGCAATCTGTGATTCTAACACGCCAGGTTTTTGGAAGCTGTCCAATGACTCATCAAGACGCTTAACAATAAGTGGATTAATTCTTATCCAGGTTCAACTTTACAGTCTGCCCTGCTGCCTCAGACAGACAGGCTGCAGGATGTGACTCTGACACAGCTCCTCATTATGATGCCTGATTCAAACACCAATCTTTGGTTACCAACCCTTTGTTTTAAACACATCCAGAAAGTCTCTGAGTTTCTATTTATTTTTTTCTGTTCATTACTTTGAGTCTGTGTTGCTATCAGCTCAGCTGTGACTCAGTGAATAGAATAGTCATGATGCATTCAGATGGTTTATATTTGATTCCAACTCCTTCCAAATGTTGATGTTCTCCTATGGGAGTTCGCCCGGATTTGCCGGGTTGCTAGTTTGATCCTCACTCCTCCCGGCTTGTCTGCTGGTGGTGGTCAGAGGGCCCAGTGGCACTGGTGCCTGGCAGCCTCACCTCTGTCAGACCACCCCAGGGCAGCTGTGGCTACTATTGTAGCTTGCCACCTACAGTGTGTGAATGTGTGCGTGAATGGGTGAATGACTGAAGTATGAAAAATTTTGAGCTCTTCTGGACATGATAAAGTGCTGTACAAGTTCAAGCCATTTACCATTTTTTGCAAGGCAAGATTGCTTCCGATGTTTTTGTTGAAACTGTCACACTATGTCGTGACTTGTGACAGTATAGTAATATACACGTAATTTGTGTGCTAACTAGAAACAACCAATCAGAGCCAGGAGAGCTCTTTAACATGCTAGGGTCCAAAATATTCCCTCCGCTTGTCCCTGTCGGCTGAGCTTGTCCTGAATACTAAGACGAGTTAGCATAGCCACCGATGACATCGGACAAATGGTTTTCCTGTAACAATGAATTGTTTCTTTGCTGTTAGCACATTTAGCAGAACGTTGATGAGGTTGATTGACTGTGCAAATATTCTCCTCCTGGCTCTGATTGGTTGTTTTCAGTGAGGAGTGGTGATATTACTACGACAATAATAGCTTGGGGAAGTATTGGAGGAGACTTATTTTTTTCATATTATAAAGTCACAACATTGTGATAAATTAAGCAAATATGTAAAAAACATATTCTTATAAAAGTTAGTTACTATGCCTTTAAGTGTGGGTGCTTGGGAAGTGTTGGGGGGAGTTGTTTGTGAGACGAAATGGTAGAATGTGGCATTGGGTGGTCACTATGTCTATATAACATATACATTTACTGTTAGCATGAATTCATATTCTGGGAAGAAACCAGATAACCTACTAAACCTTGCAGTATAAGAACAAGGAAACTCCAAATTTGAAGGATTTGGGAAAATCCCCATATTCATACACGGATATGGTGGGCCGTGTATCCTTCACACCTCATTGAAAAATGAGGGTTCAGAAAACAGCTATTTGAGACCAAAGCACCAGTCTGAAGATTTTTGTCAGTTTTTGGTAAAAAGAGAGAGAGTAGACAAAAACAATTAATTACAAAAAAGGAAATTATAGGTTTTTTTTAATTTATCGGGTGATTATTGAGTTTTTGCTCAAGCAACAGGTCTCATCACAGTTAAGGTTGGAGAAAGTCTGAGAACAAAATGTCATGAGTTGAAGCTCAAAAGCATGGCTTTTCGTAATCTTACCTGTTGACCCTATCTTTGCACTTGCCCCTGTTCAGACAAGGGATGCTGGCACATTCATCAATGTTGACCTCGCAATCCTGGCCCTGGAAACCTGCCATGCACTCACACGAGTACAAGGCAACATGGTCTTGACAGGTGGCGCCATTCTGACAGGGAAGAGACTCACACTCATTGATCTCCTCCTCACAGTTGATACCTGCAGAGTACCAGAGAGAATGAAACAAACACCATGCTTCATAATCCCAAATTATGTGAAGCACTAAACCCATGAGAACAACAGGACTGACAAACTAATGATGGTACAACAAGTATCTATTACAGATCAAATGTGTTTTCTCCTGCAAACATTTTCATTTTTTGATGAATTATATACAAGTTAAATGTGGTTTTGTAACTGCTATAAATCTCTTCTGAAATGAACACCAATCCAAACTTTATGTTATAAGGTTCAGAAAAGATACAGTACCTCTGTTTTGATTCTTTCTCTATGTCATAGACAATAAATCCAGGGATTTACTATCTTGTGAGAATATTGTGTTGTGGGACTGCATGAGATCAATGACTATGTGTTCAGTTATTTTGAGTGGTCAGCAAATCTACACTGTTATACAAACTACACATTGCCTATTTTCCACCAATATAGGAAGTGTGTAGTTTCAAGAGAATATAATATAATTTTGACAAGATAGAGCAATAGATATTAAAGATCAATAGATATTAAAACATTGACAGCACTCTCTCTCTTTTTACCACTAAAAGCCAAAACTGAATATCACAGTTTATGAAACTGTGATAAACTGTAAACTGTTTATGAACAGTTTACAGTTTATAAAACATTTTATGTATTGATCGCATCCTTTTTAAAAACCTACTTTAAACTACCACATTACCTTTAAAACCTGGAGTGCAGTCACACATGTAGTGATCCACCAATTCCAGACATGTGCCATTGTTCTGACAGGGTTGTGAGGCACACTCATTTATGTCAAGGTCACAATGATAGCCCTGATATCCAGGCACACAGAAACACTGGTAGCCATCAACTATGTCTTTACAGATGGCTCCATTTTGGCAGGGGTCAGACCAGCACTCGTCAATATTCTCCTCACAGTTATTCCCTTGGAATCCAGCAGCACATTGGCACTGAGGGCCCTGGTCAGGGATGTCCAGGCAAGTAGCACCATTCTGACATGTTTCCTCTGAGCAAGTGGCCATGTTCTCCTGGCAGTCGTCACCTCCCAGACCAAGAGGACAGTGGCATGAATACCCATTGACTTTGTTCACACAGTTGGACTTCACACCACTGCAGGGGTCATGCTGACATTCATCTACATCCTGATCACATCTGTTTCCTGTGAAGCCATCTGGGCAATGGCAAGTGAACTGTTCAGTCCCAAGTTCACTGGTACAGTTGCTGCAAGGTGCAAAAATACAGGGATCGTAGAGTTCATCGCAGTTTTTGCCCATGAACCTGACTGCTCCTTTGATGCACACACACACATATTCATCCCCGTGGTCCAAACATGTTGCACCATTGTTGCAAGGAGAGGATAAACAGCTGTCTGCTGCTGCTGTGCACAATAATCCTAAAAAGGGAAAGAAAAAGAAAAGAAAAGAAACAAATCACAAACGTACAATCTATACATTGTATGAGTGATAATCAAGTAAAACCAAGTAAAAGCGATTGTCTAAGTGCCTTTGTGAGATCTTCTAATTTCTAATTAAGTAACTGGGTGGTTTGCTGATATGCTTCAGAAAAATACTTTTGGTAGAACATGTGAAATACCTGCACCTGGAAGATGTTTTGGCCAGAGAGAACAAACTGTGCTTTAAATTCAAGAAGTTACAAGTTGCAGTCTTCCAATTATTTAAACAATAAAATACTGAAAGAATTCATTACACATAGAGCAAGGATTCCCCCTGTGAATACTGGTGGGCAAACACTGCCAAATATTTAAGAAAAACATTCATGTACACAAAAACTATTAGACCTTATTTTGATCAAATTAAAATGAAATAAAGAAATAAATTTAAGTCAAATTAAGATGAAATGAGGTTGAAAGTGAAATTTTGAGCCTCGATTGTCTACAGTAATGCAACAAATGTTTATATGTGTAATGAGTCTGTAGAATATTTCACTTAATTTTCCAACTGAATAAATGAATTAAATTGTGCATTCTATAAAATTCAAATCTTCTGAGATTCATATATTGCTGCTGTTAACAACAACTCTGGTACTTTGTTGCACCTCCTCTGGCAACCATAAACCTTTGCAGTTTTCTGAGATTGGAAACCTCAATGTCCACTTCCGCATTTCCTGCTGAGTGTCATGAAGGAGTATCTGGAAGCCCCTATGCTCTAAACCAACCTCAGACTCTTTAACTTACAGAACAGACTTGCTCAGATGTTTTGCTTAGAAATCTGAACTATAGGAGGAAATTAAGACATGAAAAAGATATGCTGTTCATCACAAACTATCGTTTTAGTTATGTTTTACAGTAACAATGGTATTAATCATCTCCAATTACATAATCTAGTTGAATAAAGAAAACTACACTGCTTACGTTTTGTCAAATACTTACAATTTTATGCTCATATTGTAATTTAAAATGTAGGCATGTTTGTTCTAGATTTCTGCCACTTGGATAATATCAGCTCACTCTCCTCTGGGCTTTATGCCAGATAAAAATCAAACATGTCTGACATGTTATGGAAATGTTAGAGTTTTCAGTGTTTATCAATTAAATTCTATACAATTTTGTCCTTATGTTTTAATATTCCACTGTTGCTAGTACAATAGTCTGCTTACTGCTGTAACACTTGGAGAGGATTAGAAACCAATCTGATGATGAAGAATTACCACCAGCGCTTTTCTATAGACATATGTGTAGAGCAGATGGTGTTAAAGATAAACCTATTACAGTGTCTGTGTCAATAATGAAAGTTTTACCCACTTCATTTAATGTAAGACAGTAGAAGATAATGACAGTCACACACAGAACAGAGTTTATGATTTAAACTGTTATGACAACAGATCAGTCAATTCAGGTGATCCAGTTATTTCCACGGTTGAAGGTGCAAAAGCCAGCACAAAGCCATGCTGACTGTTTCTAATAACATTTGTAAAAGATTAGATCACTTCCAGTAATTTCAGCCCAACTGAATAAGTGGATTAAATAGTGGACCATGATAGAATGCCACCTGTGCAATAAGTCCAGTCATAAAATGTCTACAGATGCAGCAGGACGAAAGTCACTGGAGACAACAGAGACTCAGATGTGAAGTGGTATATTACGCTAAAATATTACGATATCACAGAGAGAGTCAGCAGATGCTGAGGAGCATGCAAAGTCAATAGCAAGAGACTTCCAAGCTTCATGTAACCTTCAGATTAGGGAAACAAATTTAAATAGAGAGCTTCAAGAAATTTGTAACCATGGTTGAGCAGCTGCATCCAAGACTTTTAACGTCAAGTCCAAAGCAGGACATTGGCTGGAGCAGTCCAAAGTACACTTCCATTAGATTATAGAGTATACAGAACTTTGGAACAAGAGGTCAGCATTCTGTCTGGCAACTCAGTAGACAAGTCTGGATTTGACTATTGCCAGGAAAACAACGCAGACATGGAAGAACCTTTCCTGCACAAAGTCTCTGTCCTAAATCTAATACACCTTTGGACTGAACTGAAGGGAGACTATGAACCAGGCAATCTTGTCCAACATCATTATCTTTAAATAATCATCAAATTTTCCCATAAACATACTCTTAAACCTGTGAAAAGCTTTCCCAGAAGAGCTGAAGCTGTTATACTGCAAAGAGTGGGTTGACATCATGTTGAATCCCATGGAATAGGATGTGACTCAAGCTCATATGTGTGTGAAGGAAATAAGTTGAACAAGTCTAATTTAGAGGGAAGAATCTGAACTTACCCAGTCAGCCATTTTTACCCTTGTGGTAAAAGCAAAGTAAATCTTAAAGTACATTCTATCTTCAAACCATTCTGCTTTTATAATTTTCTGGATTTAAAGGCCAACCTTCAGAGATAAGGCACTTATATGTCAGGCAGGTCATTCCTGACACCTTCCTCTCCTGCCATCTAACAAGACAATTGATTTTTACCACTGTGCTGCTGGTTGGGTGGATAAAAGCTTCCCAATTACAAGGGAAACACCGAGCTTTTCTGTAAACAACATCATCAACAGCAGTAACAATGCCTTTATGTCTTCTATCTAACACCTCCATCCCTTATTTTCCACTGTATGCACTTTAACACCTCCACTTCCTTTCACTGGCATCTCCTATCAATTCCACCTAACACCAAACCTTTCTTCTCACATCACTGTCTCACTTCTCCTCCCCTCACATCCCTGCTTTTCATACCCCATAAAACTTGGGATATTCTATATATCACTATCAGTTCACTATATCACCTACACTTTAAGAACATACAAGCTTGTTAGGACACTGTTCACGCTTGGTCAGAGTTACCCTGAAACAACAGACTTCTAGGTGCACAAGGATATGTTTTAAAGAAGAGGCATCCTGGATGGAAAGCAAAAGCAGCAAATACAATTAGAAGAGATCATCTCTCCTTTTAAACTCGTTCTGAGATCAAATTTATTTTATATTTCTTTTTGCATTGTTGAACTCTTCTGTCTCCTTCTTACCACACAAATCTTAGACGATTCTCTCTAGCAAAGATGCTGTAAATCAAATCATGGCCGTCTAATCTCATGACCACCGCTGAAGGGTTTTTAAAGGCAGCAAGGCTTTCCTCACTCCTCGCCCCATCATCCAAGCTCAATCAACGCCTCACACATTCCAGTGCGATGATAATGGCCCCTCCTTCACCCACCCTCCCATCCCATCCCATCCCAAAGCACTTCATAGATCACTGCTGGAGTCTGACGGAGTTCAAACCTGGCACTGACTGGTACCAGCATCTCGAACCAGCTGTAACACTAAGCAGAGCTGCTTACTTTTAGCAGGTAGGATGTCAGAATGACACTCACCAGAGGTCTCTGCATATCTTAAGAGGTGTGTGTGTTAGGAGGAGGGGGGAGGTAGGGCCAACTGAGTTTGACCTAACACATTAACCCCCCCTGCTGTGGGGGTTTAAAACAAATTCACTTTTAAAGTCTTTGCTTCTACTCGCTGTGCAAAAAGTATTTTTCATATTTTAATAAATGTCTAATATATATATTTTTAAAAACACTCCAAGTATTGAATAAAGCTTTATTAGCGTCAGTACAAACATGTCTGATCAGTTAGAAACAGGACACGCCGGCTTTAATGCCTATGGAAGGAGAAAAATCTCTAGTGTTTATTTTATTTTGCTAATAGATTATATTATTTGATATTGGAAATACCAGCTACAAATAAAGGCTAATTCACCCCATTTCTTATACCAAAAAACTGCAGATATTTAATATTCATTTTAGTTTATGAAAAACTAAAAAATACAAGGGGAGATTATTTGTCACAGAAAACATTCCTCCATCTGAGCAAAAATCTAAATAACTCCAACAATTCTCCCTGAGCTGCTGATTGAGGCTCATAGGAATTGGATGAAAGTTCAAAACAACAAATACACAAAACTTTTTGTAAACTATATCAATTTTTACACCTTCACAACCTGACCTGTCAGGCCCCATCATCTTCCACAAACTACTTAGGCTTTATAGATTACTGAAGGATGTTTCAGAAAAAGAAATTGGTTCTGATGTGCAGAGATGGGATTCACCTCACTTTGACTGAAACGCCAAAACAAGAAGAATCCAGTTTCCAGAGCAGACGGTCTGAACAGATGGAATGAACTGGTTTGACTTGGACCTGATAATTTTATATTCAGTCCTCTGACATCACTTCATTTTAAAGGTTCTGTGGTACCTTTGAATTGAAATTAATTAACTGGGTTTGAATCAAGTGGAACTGAACTGAAACAAACTGAAATGAACTGATTCACGTGCAGGTGAAAGTGGCCTGCTATGTCTAGAAGAAGAATCAGCGCGGTTCCTCCCAGAGACAGGGGAGCCCCAGGATAACGCACGTTAAGCTCAGAGGAATTTTATTGAATCACGACATGAGACTGCCAGCTCCACCAGGCCAAGCTTTGTCCTCTGGAGGCTCCACAGCAGGTGGCTGCTTTGTTTTATACAGAAAAAAAAATTCCTAAATCCTTTTGGACCCAGTCAAAGTCTGAGACGTACATCCTTTTGTCTCCTGTGGAAGCCTAGTGTTTCATTTTGGAGGCAGAATATGGGCCTTGTTTTAGAAACCAACTGTTGCTTTTCCATTAAGGAACTTCAGAGCTTTTAGAAGTATTTTCTGGAGAGTTTATAAAAGTTTGTCCCCTTCAAGTGTTTCTTTCTTTGCAAAGCTCTAGTTTAGCATTTGGATCATCCTGCTCCCATCAGGCCAAATTATCTTAGAATTAGTCACAGTTTCACTTTGACAGGCTGAAAATGACAGCAATTACAGTAATATGTGTTTTTCCCATATTTGAAGTTGCTGTTGTTCTTTAAGTTGGACTTTGTGAAGGCTAATCACTCTGAATTTAATCAACATTTTCTGCTTATTTTATGCTTCTTATTTTATTTTCCTCACCTCAGCTCTGCATTTTCCTTTAAAAAACCAGCTCAGCCGCACAACTCCCTCCATGCTGCTTAACGTCTATTGACCCCTCTATTCAGAGCTGAGACAAAAAAAACCAAAAAAAACTGTGCAACAGTGCAGCTGGACGCCTAACATGTTTCCATGGTGACCTCTGACAATGCCACTCAGATCCAATCAGTGCGTTCGGCGAGGCACCATTCATACAAGCCTAAGACGCCTCACACAAATGAAGGTCACGGGAAAAATGGCTTGAGAGGGTTTCATAAAGCTGCTGGGGTTGACTGACCGCCCCCCGTACACACACACACGCCGTGGGTCACCACATGCTGTAAATCAACATCAACCATAAAGTTAGTGGGAAAAGTCAAATAATGTTAAGTCTTTCTGCCAGGAGAATATTTGCAGATGTTGGGGGGAAAAAATTGTTTTTCTTTTTTTTTTATTTCACAGAAACCATTCAAAAAGCTGACAAAACTAAATAAAAAAAGACAACTTTCTCGACTGGAAGAATCTAAATAAGTATTTTAGTTATCAAACTAGAAAATACTATGATCTCACAGAAAAGTTGTGCCAAACACAAACATACTACAGGTTAAAAAAAACTTCATTTAACACCTGGAAACCCGGCTGTGATGTGATGAACGGCTGAACAACCACGTACCCAGCTTGAACATCATCATTGTGATCAGCACCGTCCTCTGATATCTGGACCAAACTCTGCCAGGCTCCATGGTGACCAGGCTGCTGGTGTCTCTAGTCAGTGCAGGTGGATGATGAGAGACCACCGGTTCTCCATCCAGGCTGCTTCAGGTTAGCTGCAGACAGACAACAGCAGCCGCTCCATGCTGGACCACTGACACTGAGTAGGAGTCTGTGTGAGAGAGTTGTGGACTTTTCGTGTGTGCGTATGTGTGTGTCTTGAGGGTCCAAGCAGGGATGGAGTAAGGGAGCGTAATCACCCCAGCAGACAGAGAGGGAAGAAAACCAAGGGATGGAGTCAAGGATTGGATTCATTGTCTCTCCTGACTTGCTGACAGTTGTAACTGTCTCTGCAGGTCAACGGTGCAGTGGATCTAAATTCAGGCTGCTGCAAAGTGATCACAGAGCTCAAGCAACATGTTATCCAGTTTAGATTAGATGGAAGATTTGAAAAGCGAAACTGATTCATTTTCTACTAATTTTGCACCCTATGTTTGTTTTGAAATATTCAAATTAAATTCATTTTGCTCACTAATTTAGAATGTAAGTATACATTTATTAAGGACAATTATTGAGAAATGTGATAAAATGGAAAACATCAATTGACTTTTCTATTCCAATGTTCTGTTTTCTAAGTGGTATTTTAGCACCTCTTAGTGTTAATCAGTACTAATTAAGCTAATTTCCAATTAGTAGTATGAAAACAAATAAAAAAAAGACAAACCATATCAACATAACAACGTCTGCGTGTGTGTTTTGGGGTCTCTGTGTTACACAGAGGTTTACTAGTGACCTGTCCAGGGTGTACCTGCCTCTCGCCCAATCACTGCTGGAGACAGGCTCCAGCACCCTGCAGGGGTTCAGTGGGTACAGACAATAAATGGATGGACGAATATTCAAGTTGTAAGCAGAAAATCTGTGGTGGTCAATAAAAACTATGGTTCAGTCTTTTCAGAAACCAAAAGACACAGCACTCATAGTCAGATGACAAAGTTATATTTAAGGTTTTGAGCATGGATAAAGAGGAAAAAGTAGTACGACATAATTCTAGACTCTCCTCCTACACTAACATTCCCGACAAAGGAGACCATTAGTCACAGCTGAGAGTTGATGGTAACTCTGGAGGAGCTGCAGAAAGCCATGGAATAAGTGGAAGAATCTGTAGACAGGACCATCCACAAGTACGGCCGCTATGTAAGAGCAGGAATAAAAAGCCATTATTTTCACAAACCATACAAGTACACAGCAAAAATGAAGAAGGTGGCCTGGACATGCCATCCCCTCTGTGAAACATGGTAGTAGTGGCATCATGCTGTGTGGGATCTTTTCTTCACCAGAAACAGGAAAGCTGGTGAGAGTCAATGGGAAGATGGATGAAGCTAAATACAGGGAAATCCTCCCAACTCACTGCTTACTGTTGCTCAATTATCAAGAGTGAGACCAATAAAATAGTCTGTGGCTGCAGCATAACAAAATGTGGGGGAAGGAAAACTTTTGCAAGCTGCTGAGGGTAGAACAGTGTCTAGAGAGTATTATACAAATTATTTTCATAGTAAGAACACTTGCCATTGCCCAAACTTGAAGTCCAGTCCAGGATTATAATGAGAAGTTCTGAGATCAATGATCTGTCTCGCCTACCACACCCACACACCACACCACCATGCCTAACCCCTCCACTGAGAGCGGGAGGAGATTATCTAGCAGCTATCTGGTTGGAGGAGGCCTCTTTGGAAGCTTAACAAAATGAGAAATGCCTTAACCCACCCCCTCTTCACAAACCTCCCAAACAACCCCAAACCCCCACTGCAGCTCTTCAGCATCAGGCTTATCTCCAGCCTTCACAACTACTCTAAAGTTTTAATTAAACATTTGGCAAATTCTGAAAGGAAACAACAGAGGGAGGCGTTAGGGAGGAAACCATCAACAAGCAGCATCCAATAGCCAGAATCAGTCTGCAACAGATCCACAGGTTCACACTACTGCTGTGTTCTTTTAGACTGAGATGTTTCTAAAGACCCAGGCATGAGTCATCACCAACCCCCTACCCACACCAGCATCAGGAGTCATGATACTTTAGGAACCTTTATCTCATTCTGCACTAGAAAGAGCTGCTCTAACTTTATGTCTTTCATGATGCTGAAAAGTGATTAAGATTTACATTTTAAACAGAAAAATGTGCTTTCCATGTAACAAAACAACAGTAACCTGCATTACTGACAGGCATGACAAACAAATGTAATTCTTTTAATTAAATAATTTAAAAGAATTACATTAGAATTAGTGAATAAAATGTTATGGCATTTTTATTTACTTTTTTACATTTGCAACATCTGTAAGAACCTGGCCTGGCTATCGCCTTCCTACACATTTCAAATCTCCCTTCACATCTCAGTCTGGGATTTCTTCCACTGACTGAATTCAGCTAACAGAAAGATAAGTTGAGAACAACAAGTGTTTTAGAATTGTAGTTTGTATGTTTCAGCACAAACCATGTCTCCAGGAAGGAATTGTTTCTCAACAGACAGAAAAACTGGATGAAGCAAAGCTTTTTTCTGTTTTTAACGCAAAATTTCCCAAAAATGTCAGTGTTAGTGTAATGTTACCATTATAATTGAGATGTCAGATAATAATAGTCAACTTTGATGCAACTGCTGTTTTAAACAGGTTGTGATTGGGGAGTTGCACAGTAAAAGATGTACAATGAGTGAAAGATGTACAATGTATCATAGAGGAAAAACGTTATTCTGTTCAGGGGACTTCACCACATTAACAGAACTGGTGGATTGGGCTTTGGACCATCCAGTCTTAGAACATTATTCCCTTCCAACATGACAATAAGTAAAACAAAACTGGTCAAAGGAATTGAACCAATCTCTTCAGCACCCTGTCTCTGATCTCAGTCCTACAGAAAACAAATATGCAAAGCTAAAAAAGTGCATGTAAGCAAAGAGGCCAGCAAACCTGATCTGTATAAAGATACATGCTCATTATTCTAAAAATAAAATATCTAAACTCTCCTAGAATAAATAGAATTGAATCAGACATACATACCGGGACAAACAAAATTCCGATTTAGCTCTGAGGATTTATTGACTCCTTAGGAGATCAATAAAGAATTATATATATATATATATATATATATATATATATATATATACACTGCTCAAACAAATAAAGGGAACACTCAAATAACACATCCTAGATCTGAATGAATGAAATAAATATGAAAATAATTTCCACCTGTTGTCTATTCCATTTGCACAACAGCAGGTGATATTGATTGTCAATCAGTGTTACTTTCTAAGTGGACAGTTTGATTTCACAGAAGTTTGATTTACTTGGAGTTACATTGTGTTGTTTGAGTGTTCCCTTTATTTTTTGAGCAGTATATATGTAAATACTCTATATACACATGCTCTATTTATGAAATATCAGTGTATACTTGTGTACTTAGTTTAAAAATATTGAATGGTTTGAGGATCGATGCATCAGTGTGTTAACAAGTGGCAGCACTATCTGTACCTCATGTAGGTGTAGAGACAGATAAACCCTTGGCTGGACGGCAGCACAGTCTTTTCCCATGCTGTCATCAGCTTACTGCTGGAACCATACGGAGCAGCAGACTGACGGATCTGAACCGAGAAGATTGAATAAGTTTTATGTGAGTAAACAAATATGCTCACTGAACACAATACAGCTTAACGGACTAACACCCCCTCCTTTTTTTACACCTGAGCTGGACGATAATACAGCTGCTTTATCAGCAGACTTGCTTCACACATTCATAACATTACAGTGTATTATCATGAGAACCTCACACTGTTGCATCACAGCAGTTTGAATGGTCGAAGTTCAATCTTTTCCATTTCGAGCACCTTCCAGATGTGGTACTAAATCAGAAATGTATCAGATTCTGTACCAGAAAATCCCAGACCAGATGTGAAAATCCTAATTATGAAATTATGAAAGAGCACTGTTCACATCACGTCAGCACTTTGTCACACACTCAACAGACTTGCAGTCAATGCTCCACAAAACACCCTTTTGGTAAAACGTTCACCCAGATGTCTGACTGGGATGGGATTTAATTAATGAACAATGAGGCTAAAAGAATTGGATTTAAACAAAAGAATTGGAACTCAGCATTCAGACCTGCTGTGTGAAAGAAATCTAAGTCTTCTTGTGTACCTCTGCTTGCTTCCATTTGGACGATGAAGAAAACACAGTTGGTGGCATTTACAGGCAGGTAGAACGACCATAGCTGTCCTCTAATGAGCAGCTGATGCTAATTTGGCTATTCAACAGTTACAGAGGTTTGTAACAGCCCATTACAGCCAGCTGAGTTACAAGGTTTTGGTGGAATCAGAGTGGGAGGCAAAAGGGCCCCAAAATCTGTTTGTGTTCTTTGTGTTTCAAGACAAAGGTTTGAATATTCATTTATTTTATGTGCTAGCTTTGTTCTGTTCACATTACAGGGAGGGGCTATTCAGCCTGGGAAATCCCTCATGAAGTCTGTAGTCCATCTGAAAGCCAGTGCAGAGACAGACTGAATGGAGAGCCAAGCATACACAGAACATGGGACAGAAGTGGAGTAACAGAAGAAAACTATTGCAACTCCACCCAGAAATACTCCAGCTCTTATTTGAATGGAAGTCCCGATGCTGTAAGGTGGCAACAGTAACCGCTACACCTGATGCCTGAAGTCGGAAAGCCGAATGGGTTTTTCCTGTTTTTCTCAAGTCACCTAGCTACGTTTTCTGCTTCCCATTAAGAGAGGAGGACCAGTGTGCTTCATAATTTATGAGACCATATAAAGTTCCAGACAGATTTGCAGTCAGTGCTCACTGCCATTCTCACTCCCTTTTTTTCTGTGTGTACCCTCACACTCCCTTCCCCTGCACATTTCATCCTCCATTCCTGTCTGACCCTTTACAACAATGGAATCTCAAAGATCCTCCAATTGCCTTGTGACCCTTAACTTCACTCTTCTGCAACTCTTTTCTGAACTGTGCCAACAAAGTATGTGGCTCACGCTCAAATAGGAAGGCATTCAAACTCAGGTTACCAACCAATTCTGACATCCAGGTTTAGAGGCCCACAGCAGAACAACAGGATATGTAAGCTTTTATTAAATATCACTACCTAAACTTCAAAACTGTAAAACT